CCGGCTTCAGTTACGCAACCGGTAACTCCGTCTACCTTTCCGTTTGAGAATCCCATGCAGTACCGTCGTATTGTTGGGGCTTTACAGTACCTCACCATTACTCGACCAGATCTTGCATATTCAGTTAACAGGTTGTGTCAGTTTATGCATTCTCCCGCAGATGATCATTGGAGTCTCCTTAAGAGGGTTCTTCGGTATATCAAGGGGACTCAGGACTACGGTCTACGTTTTCGTCCGTCAGCAACGTCTGATTTGCATGCCTTCTCCGACACCGACTGGGCTGGTTGTCCGATTGATCGGAAGTCCACCAGTGGGTATGCGGTCTTCCTCGGGGACAACCAGGTTTCTTGGGTTTCCCGCAAGCAGCGCACCGTGGCTAGATCGTCGACTGAAACAGAGTACAAAGGTCTGGCAGATGTTGCAGTCGAGGTCACTTGGGTTGTCTCTTTGCTACGTGAACTTGGACTCCACTCGGGCAAGCCGGCAACACTATGGTGTGACAATCTTGGGGCTACATATTTGGCTGCCAATCCAGTATTCCACGCCCGAACGAAGCATGTTGAGATCGATTACCACTTTGTTCGAGACAAAGTCGCATCTGGGGATTTTATTGTCAGTTTTGTTTCAACGAAGGAGCAGCTAGCTGATATCTTCACCAAGCCTCTACCAGGACCGCGTTTTCAATTACTTCGAGGCAAGCTCAATGTTGTCACCCTCCAACCTTGTGCTTGAGGGGGTGTGTTTGTAAGACCCCAGATTTTCAAGACATTTAAAACTTATAAAATAAAGGTATTATCTCATTAAATTCCAAAACATAATACAAGTGTACGGGGTGCTATGCCACACCTGAGCTAGAGAACCCAGGTGCACAGGCTAACTAACTAATATCCTCAATAATGGAAATACATAATGTGGCGCGTAGGCCGAAAAGGGGACTATCTACTTCTACGTTCCGAGTTCTAGCGCGCTCCAGTGACTTATTCTTCTGTGCCTGAAAGCCAAATATATCTGTTCAGCGAGAGATGCTGGTAACCCACTCCAACGCGTTGAAATACAATACATATAGAGATATATACAGATATATGAAAAACCATTATGAGCATGAAGATATATCCTACGAACTCTAGCTTTTAAAACCGGGAATGACTCGACAGATAAGGCTAGACACGAGCAACAGTTATAACGAGCATATGTAGTTCACAACAGATAAGGCAGATAAGGCAAAGCATAAACAATAATCATAACCCAACATGAACAATCCCCAATGTAAATCCCTTAGTCACATCCCCCAAGACACTCATAATCACAACTCATCCATATCCCAACACATAACACACTTTGTTGGCGCCACAGGACCAATCGCATGCCCATACATGAGGGTCAGCGCATATAGCTCTGACACGGCCCCGCAGCACCATGCCCGTATCGCAACACGGGGAGGTCGATCGCAACCGACCGATGAACCGCAGCTCATCATAATGTTTGATCGCAACCAAACAGTGGACCGCAGCCCAAGAGAGTGTCATCTGACCGCAGCCAGGATAAAGGACGAACCGCAGCTCGTATAGAAACGTTTGATCGCAACCAAACGGTGGACCGCAGCCCGAGAGAATGTCATCTGACCGCGGCCAGGAAATGCCAATCTGACCGCAGCCAGCTTCTGAACCGCAGCTCAGGATAACCAATCCGATCGCAACCGAATTGGGGTAACACACACATAACACATAGCAAGCACATGCAACCCACATTACATATTAGGAAGGGGGAGAAAACGTATAACAAAACCTATGCGTGATCCATCACTTACTAAGAATAGTCCTAAGGGGTTCATACTTCTTCCACCTAGGTCAACGGGATACCAATTCAACTAGCATGCAATATAATAGACTCATAAACCTACGAACGGTACCCGAAACATCAAACTAGACATAGGCACGACAAACGGGGTCCGTTGGGACACCACGGGGATCGGGGAAACATCAAACGGGGAAACCGGGAGCCCGAGGTAGTGTAATTTCCAGCGGGTAGCCGGTGGGTGGGGGTCCACCCGCCGGCTGCCACTGTTCCGGGCAGCGGGTGCCCGGCGGGCAGCTGCCCGCCCGCCGGCTGCCCGCTGCCGGAGCTGCCCGAGAATGCCACGGGTAGGTGGCGGGTCCCCTACCCCCCACCTACCCCCCACTGACTCTTTTCATCACTTTTCGCCCCGGGAATCGTTGTGGAACCCGAAACCATGCTTAGACACTTTACAACGCAATTAACAACAACAAGTAGACAATTAACGGATCAAATTCGGGAAACGAACGGCACATGGCCTATCATGCTTTTCTAACCATAATCAACACCCAAACATGCGATTTCCCACCCGATAATCCAAGAATCAAAGCATACGGTACAACCTAGGGTTCTAATCACTTTTATATCAACAAGAATACGATTCGTCTTTTAATTGCAAGATTCGGTAGGAACAACACATAATCATCAAGGATACCAATTAATCATCAAGAACATCATTATCATCAAGAACAACACATAATCATCAAGGATCCCAATTAATCATCAAGAACATCACAATTATCAAGAAACTCCCAATATCAAGATTATCAAGATTCCCCATGGAATCATTAAATCAACATTAATAATAATCATAGTAATTCGCCATTCACAATCATACGGGGGAAACCCTAAGGGGAAATCATAGCTATGAAAATAGGTTTTGTTGAGACATGGGTTACCTCTTAGCCTTAATTAATTCCTTGGCTATGAAGGATCTTTCTTTAAGCTTTCTTGCTTTCTTGATTTCTTCTAAGGGAATTCTTGGAGCTCTCCTGGGGTGGTGGGGCGTCTAGGCGTGTGGGGGTTCTAGGTGCTCCCTAAGTTCCCTATTTATAGATCCAAGGGTTTATTTAGAGTTTAATCCTATTGGGGTTAGGGGTTGGGTTTATATATTTGGGCCCATGGGCTATGGTGGCCTTTTTCCCTAGTTAATCATTATAATTTATTCTTTTTCCTGGGTTATTAATTAATTAATTAATCAGTTGGTTTTAGGATTCGTAACACGGGGTGTTACAGTGTTAGTAAGATAAATAATTGTATTTATTTTATACTATATAGTTTGTATTTGTGGTAGAGACTTAGTCTGATTAGCTTTAGCCTACAAAGTAGGAGTATTGTGTATAGGGCTCTCATTCCCTGTCTGAGTTGAATTGAATTGGTTCTCGCATTCCCATAATCTAATCGTTTTAAATACCATATTGAAGCTATTCACTCCTTCAATCCCTATATACACCGTGGGTATAGCAGAATTTTAGAACTACACAAAAAACAACACAAGAAAATCATTTTTCTCTCTCAAAATTTCTACTTCTACTCCTTTCTTGCTACTGTGTTCTAAGCTTTAGTCTAGTTCGCCGGGTTCTTTGTTTGGATGCTCAAACTATTGAACCGTAGTACGTTTTATCCTGGGAAACTTAGGCTACAACGCTCCTAGCACTTGTGGAGGTAGCAAATAAGGTTTTAAGGAAAGAGTGTTTCTCTCGACTCGTACTAAACATCTTCCCTTGGTATCCTTTTGTCCTTCCCACCATACCCGATCATCCTTCCCAAAAATTTCCATAAAAATAATAATCTTTTTTCGTAGAATTATTATTGAATTTTTACCAACAAATATTAGGCCACTGTTCTTATTTATTTACACACTTTTCTTACCCCAAAAATTTATACATGTAGCGAGAGCTATTTATCAATTTCCTTAAAAGAATGTTATTATATGTTTATCACATCAGCTTTTTCTCTTATCATGAGAAATCTAATTCCAATGGATCATCTTAGGTTAATTAGAATTGGAAAATGTTTTTTCCCTTCCTAAATTTTCCCTCCGGATGTGGCTTCTATGGATGCTCATGAATTAACTAACTCAACCACTAATTAAAAAGAGATTTTGGCCCTGTTTGGTAAAATGGTTGTTAGCTGATAGCTGTTAACTGTTAGTTGATTATGTTAATTAGAGGGTATAAATAGTTGATAACATTAGCTGATTGTAGAAAAGTGTTTGGTAAATTAGCTGTTAGCTTATAGCTATTTGGTATAATTTCTTTTCTCAAAAAGCTAATTGAAAAAGTTGTTTAGAGTAACTTTTTGAATTTTAGCCTTTTAGAGTTGCAAAAAGCTAATTAACCAAACATTTATATTGATATTTTAACTAAATCAAACAATTAATAGTGGTCAAATAAGTAAAAATTGGCCTATAGGCCAATTTTTTACCAAACAGGGCCTTTGTTGATTAGATAATGTAACGTCATGAGGGATGAATTGGAAGAACATTGCACACCTCAAATTCTCACTAGCGGCCGTAAGAGTTTTGCATCCTCTCAAATGCTATGTCGAGCCGGATTAGACACTATTGGAAATTATGGAATTTCCGACCACCTGAAAGTGATCTTAAATCAAATTGAAAAAGCAAAAAGTGGTCGAAAATAGCAGCAAAGGTTTTTCCAGATACCAAAAGTGGTCGGAAACCAGGCTTTCAACTTGATTTAAGATCACTTTCAGGTGGTCGGAAATTTCAGAATTTCCAATAGTGAGAATAAACATTGCAGACCTCAATTTTAATCGAGTAACATTTTAACATTTCCCAAGAAATTTGACATTCCTATTAATTTAACATTATCTAGAATAATTTGACATTTCATGATAAAAATGCATCTTTTATCTTATATTTACATTTTTAAAAGCTTTTCTTTTTCGTATATGACATTTGTAGAGCTTGTAGAGCTTTTTCAATAACTATTATTTTATTGCAGATTTAAAAGACTTGACACCTTATTTCTAAAAAATAATAATAATGAACGAAGTACCCCTTCAAACTCGTATACATTCATTATACATGCAGGAAAGGATTCATTCAGGCAGTTGTATGTTCGGTGATCACATTAACTATCCCTCACCCACCCTTCTCTCCTCCCTAATAAATACTCTTCAATTCCAACCTTTCTCTTTATATTCACTAGCTACTGTATAGTAGGTCTTCTTGGAACGGATCATATCCATCCATCCATCCATCAGCAATGGCCGCCGGAGAACAGCGCCTTCTTTCCACCGAGATAGTGAACCGGGGCGTCGAGTCCTCCGGCCCGGACGCCGGTTCCCTGACGTTCTCCGTCAGGGTGCGGCGGCGCCTCCCGGATTTCCTGGCGTCGGTGAACCTCAAGTACGTGAAACTAGGGTACCATTATCTGATAAGCCACGCCGTGTACGTGGCCGCCGTGCCGGTTCTGGTAGTGGCAGCGCTGAGCGCGGAGGTGGGGAGCCTCGGGCGCGAAGAGGCGTGGAGGAAGATCTGGGATAGCGCCGCCGCCACGTATGATTTGGCTACGGTGCTGTCTTTTCTTGGCGTTGTGGTGTTCACTGTTTGTGCCTACTTCATGTCCAAGCCAAAACCTATTTATCTTCTTGATTTTGCATGTTTCAAACCAAGCGATGATTTTAAGGTAAGACTTCAAGATTCTCTCTTTTTTCAAATAAAATTAAATGTGATGTATATTTTAGTAAAATGACAAACTATATTAAGCTTTAATTTCTGAAAAAATTGTTTAGGCCTGAGCCAGTAGCTGGCTGAACCTAAGTCACAAGATCTAGAGAGATCAAGTTGTAAATGCAATATATATATATATATATATATATATATATATATATATATATATATATATATATATAGGGTTCGAAACTAGATAGAGTAAACCAGAGTGTGCTAATTTTTTAATACATCATTATTTGATATGATGATTGAACGAATAGATTATAATTTTAGGTGGTTATTATTATTAATTAATAAGTATAGAGCTAGCTAAGTAGTACTAACTTTTTTTTGAGTTTAACCACAAGGTATGTTGAGTAGACTTTAACTATAGAAGTCACATTTAAACTTGTAATATACTCAAACAATCATTACTCTATGAACAATGGTTCACACAGTTGTGTAGATAACAAATAATAAAAAGTACATTATTTGAATACTAAAAATATACTCTCTCTGTCCCATTTTATTTGTCTTACTTACTATTCATGGGTCAAACGAACATTTTCTTCTTTGTTTGTTTTCTTTAGTGTCTTTTACTTATTTTTAAATTTGAAAATAGTACTTTTAGTGTAGTTTCTAAATATATAAATTTTGTATAATAAAACTAAACTTAATGTTATGAAAAATTGGATTAAAAATAACATCAGTCAAGTCTCGTTAATCGAGTCAGATGCATAAAATGGGGCGAAGGGAGTATTATTTTGTATACTATCAAATAATGTACATTTAATATTTTTAACATTTATCTTGTCACTACTGGAAATTCTGAAATTTCCGACCACCTGAAAGTGATCTTAAATCAAGTTGAAAGTCTTGTTCCGACCACTTTTGGTATCCGGAAAAACCTTTGTTGCTATTTCCGACCACTTTTTGGTATCAACTTAATTTAAGATCATTTTCGGGTGGTCGAAAATTTCAGAATTTCCAGTAGTGTGTATTCAGGGAAAGTATATTATTTGAGTACTGAAAGTACATTATTTTGTATAATGTATATTTAATACACAAATAATATGCTTTTAGTATATTAAAAATGTACTTTTTTTATGTTCATTTACGTGACTCAATTAAAGGACAAATTTAAAAAGTAGTTTTGAAGTTCTGATTTCTCTTAAGAGAATAGAGTGCACGACAACTTAGCTAACCAAACTGATTATAGTATAAACTTTTTTAAATCAAATAAAGTATTTGTCATAATGAAATGATCGATGTGTTCGAAGTAGACATTGAGTAGATGTTAGTACGTGTACGTACTAGGTAGTAGCTAGGATGTTTGGTTTTGGGCACTTGATCCGATCCGATAGATCCATGATCCATCCATGTGAGTCATGTGTGTTCTTGGTTTTGTCAAAGGTGACAAAGGAGCAATTCATCAACATGGCCCGGAGTTCTGGAAAATTCGACGAATCTAGCTTGGAATTCAAGAAAAGGGTGCTGGAATCTTCCGGCATCGGGGACGAAACCTACGTCCCCAAGTCAATCGGGTGGCCGGAGAAAACCGCCACCATGAAAGAAGGCCGGGCGGAGGCGTCGAGGGTGATGTTCGGCGCTCTAGACGAGCTGTTCGAGAAGACGAAAATCCGGGCGAAAGACGTGGGAGTCCTGGTGGTGAACTGCAGCGTTTTCAACCCCACGCCGTCGCTCTCCGCCATGATCATCAATCACTACAAGCTGAGGGGAAACATCCTGAGCTTCAACCTCGGCGGAATGGGGTGCAGTGCGGGGATCATAGCGCTCGACTTGGCTCGCGACATGCTTCAAGCCAACCCCAACACCTATGCTTTGGTGGTTAGCACTGAAATGGTGAGCTTTAATTGGTACTCCGGCAAGGACCGCTCCATGCTCATCCCCAACTGCTTCTTCCGCATGGGCTGCTCCGCCCTGCTTCTCTCCAACCGCCGCCGCGACTACGGCCGCGCCAAGTACCGCCTCGAGCACATTGTTCGGACTCACAAAGCCGCCGACGACCGCTCCTTCAGGTATAGTAGCTTCCATCAATGTTTAAAATCATATATATACCTAATATTTATATTTTTAAAAATAACTATCAAATCCTTACTAATTAAAATATATATAAAATCAAATTATTTATTATATTAATCAAATATAATAATATATAATACCTACAAATATTATTATCATTAAAGAATATAAAAATATATATATGATGAATGTATGTACATGGTAACAATAATGGAAAAGATAACAGAAGTTACAACGGTAGGGGTATTTTTGTCCAAAAAATTATATAGTACAACTCTAAAAGCACAATAAACAAAATGATTAGCACTAAAAATATGGACATAAATTAGGTATATAATTTTGATTGAGATTTATTATGTTTTTAGATTATAAATAAATATTATTGACTCTTTGTGTTTCAGTAGGTTGAGAAAGTAGCTATGAACAAATACTACATTATAATACAGTCAGTAGTATTAAAAAAAAAATGACAAAAATCGCTTATGGATCTTTGTCCGTGGAACGATCAGGTTGTAGACAATTGTGTAAGTAATCACAATTTCAGTTATAAGTATTATAATATTTATCATTAGTAACAATCATTTTACCCTAAAATAGTATTACAATTTCTTATATAAATATTACAATACTTATTATAAGGAACAGTTTACTTATTTATTTCAAATTGACATTAAATTTTCAGTAATAAGTATTATAATTTTTATCAAAAATAACTAAAAAATATCTTATTTTTTTACCCATCTCACGGATAAAAATCTATCCGTGAAACAGTTTCACACAAGTACTCAATAAAAGTTAGTCTTCAAACAAATTAAGAACTAATTCTAGTACGTAGTCAATCTATGAATAATAAACGACAATAAAGAAAGCTAAAAAAAAATGTGATGACATCTTAGTAAATATCTTAAATTTTATTTGTAACAAATAAAACTACAAAGTCCATCAAGTGATATGTGAGAGTACAATCCACTTTAATATTTCATCATACGCACTTCTAGATTCATGAGGGCACATATATGTATTATCGGGATGCACTTCGTTAAGCCGTAGTTTTATTTTGTACGCTTTGTAACTGTACATAATATACATTTAAAAGTTTGAGATAGTTAGAAAAAATTTCAATTTTTTTAGAACACATGTTATCACCCTCATTGTGCCTTTTATATATATATATATATATATATATATATATATATATATATATATATATATACTAGTTCAAATGTGAACATAATTTTTTGTGCAGTCAGTAAAAATTGCACTATTAGATATGCATAAATGCATCACAGTGATCGAAAATGTATCAAAATAGAATGCACAAATGTATCACATCTAGTGGTGCATTTTTGAACACTTTGTGGTACATTTATGCGTACCTAATGGTGAATGATCACATGCAAATACATCATCAATTAATATTTCGATATTAGTAGTTGAGCACTTTAATGTGTATGATGCAAATTAAGTGTGTGTATTTACATATATATTAGAATAATATATAATATTTATACTGCACTCACTATTTTATAGTAGCTTGAATAATTATATTCAAAAATATGCACCTGGCCTGTTAGTCTTGAGGATGTGATGTGTACTTGAAAAGAACAGTTGTTGGTGATACGATCAAATGAAAACAAAAGTTGTTGAAACAATTTATTCAACATTACCTCCTAGCCAATGCCAACCACATTATTGTCCGTCATTGTTAGTATCATAATTAATTACTGTCATTGTGCTTTAAGCAATAATTTTCAAAAATGTGATGATATATAAAAAATTTAAAAAAAAAAAAAAAAGTGTGCATTGGTTGTGAGCTATATATAACTTTTAACGTAGTTATAAATGTTTGATCCTTTGATGAGCAGGGCTATTTATCAAAAAGAGGATGATGAAGGCAAGAAGGGGTTGAAGATTAGCAAAGAATTAGTCCGAATAGGGGGAGAGGCACTGAAGACCAACATAACCACACTGGGCCCACTAGTTCTGCCGGTGTCGGAGCAGCTCATCTTCTTCGCAACGCTGGTATGGGGCCACCTGTTTGGCTCCTCCTCGCAGCGGCCGTACATACCGGACTACAAGCTGGCCTTCGACCACTTTTGCATCTACGCGCCCAGCAAGGTGGTTTTGGACGAGTTGCAGGCCAACATGGGCCTGAGGGACGGCGACATGGAGCCCAGCCGCGCCACGCTACACCGCTTCGGCAACACTTCCAGCAGCAGCATATGGTACGAGCTGGCGTACTTGGAGGCCAAGGGGAAGGTGGCCGGCGGCGACCGCCTCTGGCAGATCGTGTTCGGGTCCGGTTTCAAATGCAACAGCGCCGTGTGGCGGGCCGTACGCCGCATCAGGATGCCCACCGCCAACCCCTGGCTCGACTGCATCCACACCTATCCTCGGGCCATCTAGCTAGGGTACGGTGCAACGTAACATAACATATATGCAATGCATGATTTATTATTATTATTGAGTTAATATGTGGTCCTCTTAATATAGTGGTTTTGCCATTTCTAATCCTAAACTTTTAAATTGATCACCCCCGTCTTTTGATTTTCAAATTATTATTGGTCCTACAAGACAGGCAGGGGTTCGACTAACTTCGAAGGCCACCAAAAACAATTTTAAGAATGTTTTTATTTGTCATTATATTATATTGATTGCATTCGATCGGCATAAAATTTGTATGTCATTGTAATATTATAATAATCGTATCAATTTTTTTTAAAGCTACAAATTATAATAATATTTAAAATTTTACTCAGTTGATATTGGCTCTGTTTGGTAAATGGCTATTAGCAGTTAGCTGATTGGGTTAATTAGAAAGTATAACTAGTTGATAACATTAGCTGGTTGTAGAAATATGTTTGGTAAATTAGCGGTTAGTTGATAGTTGTTTAGAATAATCTCTTTTCTCAAAAAGCTAATTGAAAATGTTGTTTTGAGTGTTAGCATTTTGGACTACAAAAAGCTAATTAATCAAACACTTATAGTGATTTTTAAACTAGGGATGGCAACGGGGCGGGGAGTATACTCCCCGTCCCCGTCCCCGTCCCCGTCCCCGCGACCCCGACCCTATCCCCGTCCCTGTCTCCATCCGCGACGGGGAATTGAAAAATTCCCCGTCCCCGTCCCAACGGAGAATTTGACAGGGACGGAGAATCCCCATCCCCGGTCAACCCATAATCAATGTGTGAAAGTATTACAATTTTTAAAAATAAAAAACAAATAAATTTGAAATCAATAGTCAATATATTCTAATAAGCTAATTAATCCAATATATACACATTCAATATTCACAGTGCGCATGCAATGTAATCAGTGCATGCAATGTACTCAATCAATATTCAATATATTCCAAATTTCAATTCATCCAATATATACACAGTGTTTGAATAGTTAAATAATATTGAGTGTGTTTTAAATTTTAATTTTAAAATCTAATAAACCTAATTAACTAAATAACTAATAATCTAATTCCTAATTTCTAATATAATATATATATATATATATATATATATATATATATATATATATATATATATATATATATATATATATATATATATATATTTGGAGATGGGGCGGGGCGGGGAGGGGTATCCCCGTCCCCGGCGGGGAATTTTAAAAATTCCTCGTCCCCGTTCCCTATTCCCAAAATTTTCTTCGTTCCCGATGGAGATTCCCGACAAGAACGGGACACATTGTCATCTCTATTTTAAATTAAGTCAAACAATTAATAGTGATCAAATCAGTCAAAACTATCTATACGCTAACTATTTTACCAAACATGCCCTTGTCAATTCTAAGAGGGCCAAACGAACTGGAGAAGTGGAATGCATCTATGGGAAGGTGATAAACTAAATAACTAATGCTAATTTACCTAATCAAAAAAAATTGTCTTTTATAATTAGATTTCTCTATTGCTTATCTTGTAAACGGCAAGATATGTGTTTTTTTTTACATCTCTTGTTAGACAATTTTGTTCTATATATAAACTGTTTTTTTTTTCTTCGAAAAGTTCACAATCAAGACTTTCTTTTGGATGCTTGTTTTTCAAGAAAGAGAGCACGGATACCAAGCTAATAATTAGACTATTCTATTACATGTACTCCTAAATTTTACTCCCTCAAATTTACTTCCTGATGTGACGAAATTTGATTGGTTATTTTCTTTCTGTGGACCCTGTAAAAGTGTCCAAATCAATATTTTAAGTGTGGGAGTAAAAGTAAGAAAAATGAAATGGGAGTACATGTATTTTCCTTAAAGTTGTTCCCATCTCTGAAAGAAGGAGACTTGCAAGATGATGTGGCTTGCTTTGTGATTTTTTTTTTTCTTTTTGCTTACATGTCTTGTAAGTTTTCTTTTTTTTAAATGTCTTGCAAGTTTTCATTTCTTAAAAGATTGAAAAGTATAAAAAAAGACGGTCAATCAATTCACAACCTTTTGTATTTTTTCTTTTTTTCTTTTATTTATATTTTATTTTGAATAGTTTTATTTATTTTTATTTATTTTTTTAATATTTATAAAAGGGGGAGCTTCCGGCAAAGTAAACGAAAAAGAATTTTAATTTTTTAAAAAAAAATTTGTGTATTTTGGAATTTTGTTTTTGTTATTATTAATATTTGAATGTTATTTATATATTGATATTAAGGAATAATTGTGAAGAGAAAATTATATTAATTGAGAAAAGATAATAAGTTTTTAATATTGTGTGAAATTAGACTCACTTTTGAAAGTGAGTTGAAGTTGTAGGAATGTAAAAAAAAAAATAGTGATGAGAACATTGTAAAATTGATGATGTGAAAATAAGTCTAATGAGAACTGTAATGAATTGTATTAATAGTTTACAAGAGTACAGGACCTAGGTATATATACAAGAGGAGATAGAGGGAAACTAGGATTGGGAATCATAAGTAGACTCAAATACATAGATAGAGTCCTAATATTCCCCCTCAAGTACAGGGTACAAACGTGACCAATAACTTGTCTCTAAGAAAAGAAAACCTAAGACCTGCTAGAGCTTTTGTAAATATATTTGCAAGTTGATCAATCTCAACATGCTTAGTACGAGCATGAAAAATAAGATTAGCGGACAGATATGTAGCACCAAGATTATCACACCATGGTTTCAAAACAGATATCCCAATGACGCCGATTTCACGCAATAGGGAGAGAACCCAAATTACTTCAGCATAAACATCAGCTAAACCCTTGTATTCAGCCTCCGTGGAGGATCTTGCCACAGTTCTTTACTTTTTGCACACCAAAGATACAAGATTTGACCCAAGGAAGACAGCATACCCACTGGTTGACTTACGATCCTCAGGGCAGGCAGCCCAGTCTGAGTCAGAGAAGGCTTTGCTTGTTCCCAATGGGTTACGTAGGAGCATGCATGTGTTGACAAAGTTGATTGACTGCAAAAGATAAATCTGGTCTGGTGATGGTGAGATACTGAAGGGCTCCAGCTAGACTTCGATATTGTGTAGGATCATCATATAAATCTGTAGAGTGAGCAAGAGATTTAATTTCAAAACAGGAATCGGAGTAGATAGAGGTTTACAATCAGACATACCAGCACGTTTCAAAATATCCAGCATATACTGTTGTTGATATAAAAAGATTCCATCATTGCATTTAATGGTTTCAATACCAAGAAAGAAACCTGGTTCACCAAGATCCCTAATCTTGAAAGTAGCAGATAATTTAGATAATAAATAACTTACAAGATTCGGATCACTGCCTATTACCAGAATGTAATCAGCATAGACAAGAAGATAAACATAAGTGGAATTTTGGGAGTAATAAAATAGTGATACATCTGTTTTCGATGTCTGGAATCCAACAGATAATAAAAAGGCATGAAAAGATTAAACCAGGCTCTTGGGGCCTGTTTCAACCCATACAATGATCTCTTTAGCGAGCAGACATGATCAGGAAATTGAGCATCAATATATCCAGGTGGTTGTCGCATGTAAACCATTTCAGTCAAATTCCCATTAAGAAAAGCATTATGAACATCTAGCTGTCTCACAGTCCAACCAGAAGATATAACCAAAGAGAGAAGTAACCTGACAGTGGTGGATTTTACAACTAGACTGAACGTGTTAAAAAAAATCTTGATCGGGAACCTAATTAAACCCCTGTGCGACCAACCTGGCTTTGTATCTCTCAATCGAACCATCTGTTTTCCTTTTGGTTTGAAAAACCCATTTACATCCAATCACATTTTGATCATGTTTAAACAGAACCAGACACCATGTCTGATTCTATAACAAGGCATTAAATTCCTCATCCATAGCCTAGCGCCATTCCTAGTGCTTGACAGCCTGTGTGTAACAAGTGGGATTAGTGGAGTAAACCTGAGCTGTCAAGACCGTAGGTGGTGCACGAAACCAGCTTCGTGTTTCTATGTCATGAGTACGGATATTTGGCCGAGTCTACCGTCCCCGTGGGCGCCCCCGTGGACGAGTAGTCACCCAACACGGCAACCTACTGGGCTGTCTCAGCTTCACCGGGTTCTGCCGGCAGTGTTCCATCATTCGGCTCAGGCGCTGCTAGCAGCTGTGGTTCGGTTCAAACCGGTGCGGCTTGCTGTGCTAGTTCGGACTGAATATGAGTATCGGGATTGGTCACCACGGGATGAAGGATAGATGCAACCCACGGTTTATCACGAGAAGCTGAGATTTTCTGCACAGAGAGTTTAGTAGCAAAAAGAAAAACAGCTTCATCAAATCTGACATGCATGCACACGAACACCTTATTAGTTTGTAAGTCCATACATCTATACCCCTAAAGGACTCAGGATAACCAAGAAAGACACATGGGGAGGATCTATAAGACATTTTATGACGATTATAGGGACAAAGAAGAGGATAACACATACAACCAAAGACACGAAGAAACGAGTATGAAGGAGGGGATTTATGCAACAAAGAGTGAGGACTGGAGTTATTTAAGATAGCAAATGACATTCTGTTAATTAAATAAACTGCAATTTCAAATGCAAAATCCCAAAATCATGATGGAACAAACGCACGGGCCATGAGAGTGAGACCGGTTTCGACAATGTGTCGGTGTTTTCTCTCGACTCGGCCGTTTTGTTCATGAGTATATGCACACGACTGTCTATGATGGATCTCTAATTTTGTGAGAGAGAAATGCAACTTTTTGTACTCGGCACCTAAATCAGATTGGATAGATTTGATCTTACGATTAAACATTCTTTCAACAAGAACACGAAATTTGTCAAATATGTCATAGAGATCAGAATTCTGTTTCATGGGAAAATACCAAGTATACCGAGAAAAATCATCAACAAACAGAACAAATTAAAGTATCTATAACCATCAGAAGATAAGAGAGGAGCTGGACCTCAAATATCAGTATAGATTAAATCAAGAATATTGAAACTAGAAGTATTAACACGTGGTAATGGAAAACGAGAAGATTTACCCATTTGGCACGCATTACATAATCTAGAATTACAACGAATAGTACTACTAGACCTACTAACCGAACAAAAAGGAAGAATACGACTAAGAACACGATGGTGTGGATGTCCCAAACGATCATGCCAGACAGACAGAGACGCACGAGCTGAAAGAAACGCGGAAGGTGATGAAGTAGGAATTGGTAGTTTGTAAAACCCACCAGAACTATTGCCCCGAAGAAGAATCTCCTTGTTGTTAATATCCTTCACAACAAAAAAGGATGGGTGAAACTCAAAAAATACTTTATTATCAGCAGCAAATTTTTGAACTGATAATAAAGAGGTAGATAAAGTGGGAACATGAAGTATATTAGACAAATGAAACGACCTAGAGGGGGTATGAATGGATGCATGACCAATATGACTAATAGGCAAACATGTACCATCACTGACAGGGAGTGTGTCATTACCATTGTATTCGTCCGAGTTAGAATAATGTACTTTATATATGTATGTTCGAATAATGTACATTATGTGTTAGAATAATGGACTTTATGTGTTTAGAATAATGAAACCTCTGGAGTAAAATAATGTACTTCATGAGTTAGAAAAATGTACATTATGATTTAAATAATGTACATCTCTATACATATTAAAACAAAATGAAGTAGAGACAAAATTTTCCTGAGATTAGCAATATGAATGCATTTATTGTGTTCACATTGATTGGTAAAATTTTATATTTAACATAATTTGTGTATATATTCATTTAAACTTCAATTATAATTAATTTGACTTCACATATATATAAAAAAAGGAAAAATTAGATATAAAATAAACATAGTTCTTACATAAATAATCTTTTTCAAATGAATAAGTTTTTGGTGGAGAAATATTGCCTGTTATTTTATTTACAAATTTTATTTAAATACGTTTTGTAATTAAATTAGTTATTTCAAATTCAAATTCAAATAATAATACAAGTAACAATAAACTTTAAAATCAACATAATAATAACATAATTAAAATTTTAAAAATATTAAATATTACATTATATAGTTATACTTACATTTTTAATAAAACTAATTCTACTAATTATCATAACATTATAACAATACCTATAAATTTTTATCTGTACATCGCACGGGGAAAATAGTTATAAATTATAAAAATATGTATTGCATTAGGTTACATGAAAACAAATTGCGTGAAACAAAGCCGTTTTTGTCCATATAATTTACTGTAGTTGGATGTACAACCTAACTTTCGTGGTTGTCTTTTTTTTTTTTTTTTTTTTTAATAAATAAAATATTTTTATTTATTTTAAAATTATTTTGTCCATATAAATTACTGTAGTTGGAAGTACAACCTAACTTTTCCAAATAGTAAAAATGTAAAATTTAAAAACTACGCAATTTTTACTTATTTGATTATTTTAACCAAATTAAAAAAATTCAATTACATATTTAACACTTCTTTATAAAAAAAAAAAAATTCCCGCCATTCGAGTCTGCATGCATGGATTTTCAATTTTCAGTGCTTCGCTTTGAATTTTGTCGTACATGGAATGCGTGTGTAGACATCATGGCGTACTAGTTAGGCTTAGTTTAATTTAATTAATTTTGCTTAGCCTAATGTGTTAGCCGATGTTGATTTTCTTGTATCTAGTTCGTATTTGTGTTTTTGTTTTCAGGGGTATGTCCCGGTATCATATGTATTTGGGACATTTGATTTATATTTACATCTCCGATTTAATGATGATAAAAACTTCAGTTCTGGTTAAGCAGTACCATAACAATAATCAAAGGATGAGAAATGCTTGAAAGACCAAAAAAAAAAAAAGGCTCCTTATAATAATAATAATAATAATAATAATAATAATAATAATAATAATAATAATAATAATAATAATAATAATAAGAGTTAATACCCATTTTGGTCCCTTGACTATTAGGTAATCTGCAATTTAGTCCCAAACTATTAAAAGTACCCAATTTAGTCCTCTAAGTTGTAAAATTATACCCAATTTGGTCCTCCGTTACAATTGTCATCCATCCACCGTTATAAAGAGGGGCAAAAACGTCATTTTATCTAAAGTTGAGGGACTAAAATAAGTATTAGCTATAATTATCTAATAGTCGAGGGACCAAAATAGGTATTAACTTTTTATTATTATTATTATTATTATTATTATTATTATTATTATTATTATTATTATTATTATTATTATTATTATTATTATTATTATTATTATTATTATTATTATTATTATTATTATTATATTTGATATTGGTACAATGTCTCCTACTACCATATTACTGCCTATTATTTTAAAAACTAAAATGTACCACAAAAAAAGCATGCACAGTCTTTCTTTCATTTTTTTTTTCTCTCCTGAGGCCCACAAAAAACCACTATCTCTTAGGAATTCAAAATTCACTCTGATCTATCTCAATCGTTATACCCTAAACCACGGCGCACATAGCACTGTGCGCTCCGCGCCTCCCAAAACGACGTCGTTTTGTTAAGTTGTGTAGGAAGTTGACGCGATTATGTACATATAGTGTACAATTATGTACCTTTTTTATACAATTATGTACATTTTTTATTCGGTTAATCGGTCGGTTAAATCCTAAAAATAATATATATAATAATAAATATAATTAAAATAATATATATAATAATAAATGAATAAAAAAATAATAAATATAATAATAAATCAATTAACTGAACTTTGTCGGTTCGGTCGGTTAACCAAACATTCGCCGAAGTTTGCACACCCCTAATCAAGACAAGCATGTGGATCTTACGTACTTTCACAAGATTTCTTTCAAACAATCATAAGATCCACAGGCTTGTCTTGATTAGGGGTGTGCAAACTTCAGTAAATGTTTGGTATCGACCGAGGACAAATTTCGGTTAACCATTTTTAACCAAACTTTTTCGACTCGATAAATAGTTAAAGACTTTTTAAAATTTTGGTTAACGGTTAATTCGATTCGAAATCGTCGCTTAACCGAAATTTTATATATATATATTGTTTTTGTATATTTTCTTATTAATTTATTATTATATGTATTATTTTTAGGATTTAACCGATCGATTAATCGAATAAAAATGTACATAATTGTATAAAAAAAAATTGTGCACCATAATGTACATAATCGCGTCAATTTTCTACACAACTTAACAAAACGACATCGTTTTGGGAGGCGCGGAGCACATAGTGCTGTGTCTGCCGTGGTGTAGGATATAACGATTGAGATAGATCAGAGTGAATTTTGAATTCCTAAGAGATAGTGATTTTTTGTGATCCTCAGGAGAGAAAAAAAAAATGAAAGAAACCACATGCTTTTTTTGTGGTACATTTTAGTTTTTAAAATAATAGGAAGTAATATGGTTGTATGAGACATTGTACCAATATCAATAATAATAATAATAATAATAATAATAATAATAATAATAATAATAATAATAATAAAGTTAATACCCATTTTGGTCCCTTGACTCTTAGATAATAATAGCTAATACCAATTTTGGTCCCTCAACTTTAAATAAAATGACGTTTTTGCCCCTCTTAATAACGGTGATTGGATGACAATTGTAACTGAGGACCAAATTGGGTATGATTTTGTAACTTAGAGGACTAAATTGGATACCTTTAATAGTTTGGGACTGAATTGCATTACCTAATAGTCAAGGGACCAAAATATGTATTAACTATAATAATAATAATAATAATAATAATAATAATAATAATAATAATAATAATAATAATAATAATAATAATGTACAGTAATTCTCACTCCGTACAAATATCAGCTTGGGAAGAAGGAAGCAACATACTAATAATTTCTTCCTTGACATATTATTATTATTATTATTATTATTATTATTATTATTATTATTATTATTATTATTGACATCGTCTACCGCCTGTCACATTATTAAAAAGAAAAATAAAAATTATTTATTTAAAAAAACAAAAAAAAAAAAAAAAAAAAAACATGAGGGGCAAACAAAAACTGGCAGGCTAAGATTTGATTATGAAGGGAAAAAAAGGGCCGTCAAAATCAATCTTCTGAGAGCTTAGGCAAGCCACTCCACATCCATTCCTTCAATTTCCTCAATGTCCATGCTGCATACCATTTCAAGGATGAATAAAAGCAAGGTGATATTAGCAGGATACCAACTCTCTCTATATATATATATAAAAGAAAATTTTAAGGTGTCTGATCAACACTGATATTATGTTGTACCTAGTACAAACACATTGAGTAGCAAGTTATACTAGATACTCTTTAACACTCGTAATAACATGCTCACTACACCACTTGTGCTATATATATATATGAGGGTGACCCTTCTCCTCGTGAGAACCTGGGAACTTGGTGAATGCACATAATCTTCTACATGAATGCACGCAATCTAATATTTTAGGCACATAATACACACAATCTACCTTGGAGTAGTTTTTGTGCATTCATGTTGATTATCACGTTCTCAGCTGAAAGGTGGTTCTCATTTGATCATTAGTTTATATATATATATATATATATATATATATATATATATATATATATATATATATATATTCACTAAGCATGGGATACAATAGCTGTAGATAGTGTAAAAGTTCCCACACAAAAATAAATAAACAAATTGAATAGGTAGATTAAAACAACCTACAAGTTGGAACAAGAACAAATAACAAAATGATAAGTGAAGCTTTCCAAGAATTAGGAATGTTATAACTTAACTGGTATGTATGTATGTATATATGTATGTAGAGTTGAGACTAGGAAAGATGGAAAGGCAATCTTATTCCATTCTCATTCATTCCCACACTCAAATAAGTATACCATTCCAATGCTTCACAAACCCTCCTTATGGCTTTGCTAGTTTAATAATTTAACAAGAGCCACCTGCATTTGGTACTGTCTACTGGGTCATTGAGTCACCATAATCTACATCCTCCCAAATGCTCTGACGGGCCAGGATGTGGGGCCCATTGCGGTTGGGGATTCAACCTTTGGGAGAAGAAGTTTAATTTAACATGGTAATTTGAAAGCACTTATTAGGAAAGTTTTGAACTGAAAACAGCAGTTTAATCACAAGAACAGAGCATCCAGCTATACACCACTCTAAAGAGGGAGGGGGGTGGGTGGGTGGAGGGATGAAGTGGGCCATGCCCTTAACTTTCCTGTTTCTTATCCGCCGCCCTAAAGGATCAATCCTGGCAAAGACCCATATTTCTGATTCTAATATGTTGATAACATGATGTTGGTGGGGACTCTGTCTGGGCTTGCATCATTTTCAGACAGGAAATTAAGAACCCTCCAAAGTCCATTAAAAGCCATGTTTAAAGAATTAACAAACAACAATGACTCTACCAATTACAAGTTTCTTGTTTTGAGAAACACATTACAAACCCAATCCAGTAAATAATAGCATCTATTAATCTAATGGAGCAAATACTCTGAAACTTTTTAAGTGTGATTATTGGTGTGCTGTGGAGGAAAGTAAAATCATCTCATAGCAAGAAATAACATTTGTAATGTTTTTTCATTAAAGTGAAACAAGCAAACCAAAGGACAGATTTTTACCATGGCAAGCCAGGATCTTGCAAGAAACCATGAGAATAGGTATCACTGAAGCAGCTTTCATTTGCATTCAACCAGGCTGGAAACTCCATCACTTCATGAAACGGATAGCACCCATAATCTTGATCTTCAGCAGGGCCGATTTCCATTGTCTTGAAGAATTTGAACCACCATGCAGAAGTGACAAAATTCAATGTGTCATTCCACTCCATCTGGTGCTGCTCCCCAATGGACCTCATCTCAGCCATTTTTTCCTTGTCATCCATAATCACTGGATGCAACCCTGAATCTGGATCGTCATTGATTAACCCTGCAGTATTCACCTTGTAACCACCTTCCTCCACCATTGGACAGTGGATATCCTCGATGGGAAAGTATGAAGGATTATTATTGGTAAAATAAGGTGTAGTGTCCAAATTATTGTTGAAATCATGCAAATTGAGATTCAAGCCTAAGGTTTGGTTTGGAAGTGGGAAATTGAGGCTTTCTTGAGTAAGCGGTGGAGCAACTGAAGAAATTGGGTAAGAGTAAGGATACTGATGAGGAGGAGGAGGACAAGATAATATTGGAAAACTGTTGGAGGTGGTGGGATTGGAAGCATATGTTCTTGGATTTCTCCGAGATTTTAACTTCTCTTCTTGTTGTTCTAATGGTGTTTGCGGCGAGGTGGTCTGTAACAACTCTATCCCCAACTGTTGTTGCTTTTGTTGTTCCATAGCAGCTCTATGAAACTTTAGCGCAGTCACAATCTCTCGTCGAGCCTCGGCCATATTCAGAAGCCTCTCTTGATAAGGCCTGCTAGTATGGAGTCTTCTCCGAACTTGCTTTTTATGCCGAGGTTGTTGTTGTTGTTGTTGTTGTTGTTGCGTCTCAGTATTGTAAGAGTCGCCAGGTTTAGCTGAATTTCGGTTTTGGCATGAGATCTCTCCATCTCCAACTAAACCATCCACGGGATCTTTGGTTCGTGAACAAGTAAGCTGTTTCACAAGGGTCCTAATATAGGCACCAGAAACATGGGGCTCTTCTTTTAGCTTTTCTACTTCCAATCCCACTTCATTTACTTGTTTTGAAGATCTTCCTCTCATCTTTTTCTTTCTTTTTTTTTTGAAAAATTTTGATCACTTTTAGACACAAGTGAGAAGGTGGAATGTGGGAAGGAGGACACACGTGATTCAGAGAGACAAAGCCAAAGTACAGTATGCAGACAGGGGCAGAGTTTGGGAAGGTTTCATGGGTGATATATATATAAATAGGCTAGCAAGTCTTAGGCCTTGTTTGGCACATGAGAACCAACATGTATGGAAACACAACTTCAGTCTTTAATTCCTTTCCAATGGAATTACAAGCATTTTTTTTTTCTTCATTTATTAGGAGAAAGTCAAAGGTATCCCAATATTGACTGAACCTTCCCACACTATTGACCATAGAATCAGATATACAACAATGTTTGAAAATGAAGAAAACCCCAAATTAGTTGCATACAAAATCAAATCAGGTGACTGAAAGTTGAACTGAAAGATAAATAGTAGTTCATCTGTATCCCATATCAAGAAATAAATTTGGTTTCCAGCCAAGATGACTAAGGATACAAACTTGTAACCACAAGGTCACGGTTCGAATCCCAGCCTTCTTAGTTTGAGCCGGTCAGCTACGCGCAACCTAGGCTGGTTTAACTTCTTGTGGTCCTTTGCTGACTAAGGTCACAAGGCGGAATTTACCTTGAGCCGGTCAGCTATGGGCAACCTAGACTGGTTTAACTTCTTGTGGTCCTTTGCTGGCTAAGGTCACAAGGCAGAGTTTACCTAGTGCACACCCTCGGGTAGTGACTGCGGGTTTCCTTCGTCACCCCAAAGAAATAAATTTGGTTGTCCAAACTGCACCTAAGCTTCCTAAGTAACTGGTCCTAAGAGGAATCTGTTAATTGCAGAACTAAACCTATCCCATGATTTCACTAGAGCCATGTATATATGTCTTAAACATGCAACCATATAAGCATCATTTTTCCTAAGGGGAGAATGATCAATAACTTAAAACTACTGGGAGATTTTAATCACATAAAATCTTTGCAGGGGTTAAAAACATCAGTGTAGGTAAATAAATTTTCACAGAATTCACGCAAGCAGTCATCACTATTGTGTAGAACTGGAGATCGTGTGAAGTTCATGTGACCTTTCAGACTGGTCAAAGTGGTCATGTTCATTTCGTTGAGAAAATCTTACAGCTGCACGTACCCTTCATACAAGGAATCCAAAGAAGCCAGTAATTGATTAAACAGCTGGACCGGAAGACCTTAAATGCTCAACCTTCAGAGCATATGTTCGTGACTTTGTATGTGCCAAATAGTCCAAAATTTACACATCAAATAGGTACAAGATGAATTTAATGTCATCCATCAAGAAGCAAAACCATGCCCTCAGGTCACAAATTTTACCAGTGCCAATTTTGATGGCATCCTAAGTTTTATAGAGGTGAGACAAGAAAAGCATATGATCTCGGGGGCATACTTAAGGTCTTAAAGAACAGGAATTCATATTTGCATCCAATTCAAAACTAATTGGACCTTCTACAATTTCATGATTTTCAATATCCCTTACAGATCTAAAATATTATTGTTCTCTATGCCTTGTGTTTGTTCTTTGAATTCTGTGGCTAGTAGCTTATTAGCTTATGTATAAATAGGGCTTCTTCCTGTACAGTATGAATATACACACTATTCTTCAATCTTCAGCACTTAACATTTTACATTTTCCATTTTCTAATTTGGAAAATAATAGTTAATTTTGAACCAAAAAATCAAAATTCTATTTTCCATTTTTTTCAAAAAAAAAAAAAAAAAAAAAAAAGGAGACCGGAAACTTCTCCATTAACTCAATATGCAATTTTATATGGTTTCTCCAAGCTTGCAAGTTTTAACTATAAGGGACCAGGCTCTAAAGACGTATTCGGCAAGGCAACAGAAACTGACGGAGAATCTCTATTACTTTTGTAACCTTCTTTGATTACAAATATATTGTATAAGACATAATTCCATTTAATAATATGACAGTTATCCATATTCCTTTTCAAATTTGTTGAGCATGATTAGAGCTTGTTATGGAACAGAGAATTTGGACTGTTTATAAAGTCATTATATGCCTATTAAAGACAGAAACACTCCATACCTTGTCTTTTGTTGTTGCATTTTCTTCTTCCCTTCCATAGCTGATTTCATCTTGAATGGTCTCTATTTAACTTCTAATGCTACTTGGACCTGCAATGGGCATGGCTCCTGAGTCTTCTTACAAGATATACCAATTGGTGAAATTCTTACATGCTTAAGGAGTACGTTTTTACACTTTAGGAATAGCATTGCCCATTTGTTAGCTCGAGAGTTCCTTTCTTTGTCTCATTGTAGGGAGTGGTTCGACCAACCCCCTCCCTCTTTTATCTGTAATGTTTTATCTTTGGATCTTTGTTAATGAATTTCTTAGTTTGATTTCAAAAAGAATAACGCATTCCACTTTTAAAAGAGCACGTAGCACTTAACTAAAGGTGAAATGTGAAGTGCTAAAGTTCTGCTCCAAGAGCACCTAAGTAATTTTCTACCAATTTGTTCAGGATAACATCCATTAGAGTAAATAATGCCATGTACACAGGGAACAAATATAGGAATTTGTCCAGGAATCAAAAATTTGAATTTATTGAGCAACTGTGAGAGGAAACATGCACAAATTAAACCAGATACATAAAACACTTAAATTAAGGTGGAAAAACAGAAAAAAGGTAAAGTCACTTTGAAGTGGTAATAACCAGTTCACAGAATTTAACTCAAATTAAGTAGCCTGTTACCAACTTATATTAAATCATTGATTCACGTGTGGAGATATAGAGAGTTGGTGAGTGTTTTTACAATATGCAAAATTGTTACTGCGAAGGTTGCTGCTATTGCTTTTGAAAGGTCCAATCAAGAGCCAGCACCAACAGAGCTCTTAATGGTATTCAACCTTTCAATAACTGCATGCCTATGTTAAAGAAGCTGGGCAATAAATTATTGATGATTGCATTAATTACCCGATAAATATTAGTCAAAGATTACAGTTTCTAGAGGTAGTATTGTAGTAAAACTTCATTTATTACCAACATCAAGGAAATAAAAAAAAAGACATACTTAGACAACCATGAACCATATACAGAGATCAGCAAAGTCCACAGGCATACCCTTCATTACAAGGAGACCTAAACACTTTTAAGCATTATTCAAGAAACGATTAACTGACTAAGTACCGTCTATAGGACATTGCACCATTGAATGCCATTTTGCATCAAAACCAATCTTAAAACTATCGGGAAAATAGGAATAGCCTAGAATTGCTCTACGATTTCTTCATTTATATGTTAATGACTGCCACGTTGTACTTCAGATGAAGAAACGGGAGCACTAACCAATCTCCTTTCCATTTAATTTTTCATAAGACTATGCTAGACAAGCAAATAATGTACAGTGTATCTAGGTAAACGATTCATGTGCTGGAATTTTCTATTCTCCACCGATATGCAACATAATGCATCAGAAAGTTCTTTTCTAGAATAGAATTGCATCCCTTGATGTAATTATTTCACGGATATGTACCTAATACTTGTAAGTACAATGTTTTTCATAAGATGAAAAGTCATTGCTTTCAAATTAATTATATAATTAGTTATCTTTAATATATACCTTAAGATTCTTTTCTCATTTGCATAACAAAGTGTAACAACAATCTATTTTAATATTTGATTCTTCATAGATAAAACTTCTCCATTTGTGAAGAAACAGACAAAAATCCTTAGAAACATCAATTGCATTGTTCTTTGTGGAAAGGGGGCAGCATGACAATAGTTTCACTGTCAGTAATTATCCAAGAATGCTTCACTTTCTACTTTTCATTTTAAAACTTGATGTTAAATTTACTTTAAAAACTAAAAGACACATATCCCAGCTCAGAGTTAATATCCAAAATGGTCCTCGGCTATAATGGTTTTTCTCAATTTCATCCTAAAAGACTTTGTTGACGTAATGTAGTCCCAGACATATGTAGTCCCAGACTTCTGTGTTTTTTCTCAATTTAGTCCTTTGTTTGATATTCCGTCTATTTAGTGTTAAATAGAAAGATAATTCAGTAATTTCAATATTGACATCTCTTTACTCCTAGACCGATGAAGTGCAAAATTTCTCTTTCTTTTACGAATTACTCTAAGAACAAGTGTCAATCTTTTACCATATTCAATAGCAAGGAAGTCTAACAAAGAATAATATTGTAGTAATATTGATGTTGGAACTCCAAATATGTTTCAAATGGATTAGTTTATCCAAACTTTCAGACCAAAAATATGCATTGACACTCCAATTTCCAAGAATTCTTAAGCCTTTCTAATAAACCCCACAGTTTACCAATCGAGTAATAAACAACATAAAGCTTTCAAGATCTAGGATTAGTAGGTAGAAATAAAATTACCCTTTCAAGGGGAAAAAAATTAAATAAAAAGGAACTAAAGAAATCATCAAGAATTGGAAAGGGTTTTGGATAAGAATGTGAAAGGAAACACAGAACAGACATTTGGAAATTTCTAACTATAAAAAAATATATATATAAAATGAGCAAATAATGTGAACAGAGCCACAGGGGCAGAGAAAACAGACCTGAGTGGTTGAGCGAGTGGATTTTTGGATAACAGGAAGCCTGATTCCACCAATCCCATTTCTTCCTCACAAAAGCTTGCCTAGCCTTATCCTCCACCCCAGGAATACTGCAGAAAGTCTTGATTGACGAATGCCACTCTTCCACCACCCAAGTCTCGATATTGGCTCCATTCACACCATGGTTTGTGAAAAAAAAAAAAAAAAAAATCCTCAATTTTATCCATTCGATGATTACGCGATGAATGATCATTTCACTTGCGAGGTTTAGCAGATGGAATCATGGAAGTAGTAGGTAGACTAATCATGAAAGAGTTATTACTGATCCTTGTCCTTCTAACTGCTCTCTCCATAAAGGTTGGGACCATCTTTCTCCCAAATCCCAATTCTAAAATTAGTGTAAGATGATACGGAGTATTATTTTAATTTTAGTATTTTTTTTAATGTTTTTTCTTAATAATAAATATACAATGTATTAAATGATAAGGTGAAATTTGAACCTCAACCATTTAATTTTAAAGTAAAAACTTTACCTATTAAACTATAATCACATTTGTGTCAATACTTACATTTATATACTAATAAAGATATACATTTTTCATTAAATGTTGTACACTTAAATTATAATTGTCATAATTGTCCCTACTACATTCTTGTTAGACAAAAGTACTCTTAGACCATTACTATTTAATTCTAACTCTCATAATTCTATCATTATTATCATACACATATATTTTTTTCTTATTCTTTAATTATCATTTTATTAAAATCATTATATAATTACTTTAATTGTTGATTATATTTTAATTAAATTTCTATGAATGGTAAATCATATTTGTATATATACATACATACATACATATATATATATATATATATATATATATATATATATATATATATATATATATATATATATATAGGCACGCACACACACCAATATATGTGATCAGGTACTAGATTACCCACACGCCCCATTCCCCAAAAACCATGCGGCTTGCCGGGGGTAAGTCCGCGCATGTGTGTTGCGATAACCCACACGCCCCATCAGTAAAAAACCATGCGGCTTGCCAAGGGCAAGTCCGCGCATGTGGGTTGCGATAACCCACACGCCCCATCCGCCAAAAACCATGCGGCTTGCCGGGGGAAAGTCCGCGCATGTGGGTTGCGATAACCCACATGCCCCATCCGCCAAAACCATGCGGCTTGCCGGAGGAAAGTCCGCGCATGTGGGTTGCGATAACCCACACGCCCCATCTGCCAAAACCATGCGGCTTGCCGAGGGGCAAGTCCGCGCATGTGGGTTACAATAACCCACACGCCCCATCCGCCAAAACCATGCGGCTTGCCGGGGGCAAGTCCGCACATGTAAGTTGTGATAACCCACACGCCCCATCCGCCAAAACCATGCGGCTTGCTGGGGGCAAGTCCGCGCATGTGGGTTGCGATAACCCACAGCCCCATCAGCCACATGCCCCAGCTACCAAATGTACACGGACTGCCTACCTCGCCATGCGAGTCCGGTACTCGATCATCCAAATGACCGTAGGGCCAACATGCATAGCACACAAGAGCACATAGGAGCACATAGTTGAGGTGGTCGTGGGCCAAACATGCATTGCACATAAGAGCACATAGTTTAGGTGGTCGTAGGCCAGGCATGCATAGCACATAGGACCACATAGTTGAGGTGGCCGTAGGCCAAGCATGCATAGCACATAGGAGCACATAGTCCAGGAAAATAAACATAATCTTTACTGAACTAAGTGTAAAAGTGCACTCACCATGGTAACATTTCAATGTGCTAAGTGTGTTACCTCGTAGGGCAGCTCATCATGCGAATCATGCGGCTTGCCGAGAGCAAGTCCGCGCATGAGGTTGCGATAACCCACACGCCCCATCCGCCAAAAATCATGCGGCTTGCCGGGGGCAAGTCCGCGCATGTGGGTTGCGATAACCCACACGCCCCATCCGCCAAAAACTATGCGGTTTGCCGGGGGAAAGTCCACGCATGTCGGTTGCGATAACCCACATGCCCCATCCGCCAAAACCATGCGGCTTGCTGGGGGCAAGTCCGCGCATGTGGGTTGCGATAACCGACACGCCCCATCCGCCAAAACCATGCGGCTTGCCGGGGGCAAGTCTACGCATGTGGGTTGCGATAACCCACACGCCCCATCCGCCAAAACCATGCGGGTTGCCGGGGGAAAGTCCGCGCATGTGGGTTGCGATAACCCACACACCCCATCCGCCAAAACCATACGGCTTGCCGGGGCAAGTCCGCGCATGTGGGTTGCGATAACCCACATGCTCCAGCCACCAAAACCATGTGGCATGCAGGGGCAAGTCCGCGCATGTGGTTTGCGATAACCCACACGCCCCATCCGCCAAAATCATGCGGTTTGCCGGGGGCAAGTCCGCGCATGTGGGTTGCGTTAACCCACATGCCCCAGCCACCAAATGTACACGGACTGCCTACCTCGCCATGCGAGTCCGG